TTCTAAACAATGTCTCTTCCTTTGTTTTGTATAAACACATTAAAGATATAACTGGACATGCAACCTTTAGCACTTAGGAAACTCCAATTAGTAGAGAATGCTGTAGTGTATCTCCTCAGCAACAAGCATATCAAACCTATCCTCTAAAAAACAACAAGGAGTCTGGTGGCACCTTAAAGACTAACAGATTTATTTGGGCATAAGGTTTCGTGGGTAAAAACCTCACTTCTTTGGATGCATTGGAAGAAGTGAGGTTTTTACCCACGAAACCTTATGCCCAAATAAATCTGTTAGTCTTTAAGGTGCCACCAGACTCCTTATTGTTTTTGCAGATACAGACTAACACGGCTACCCCCTGATACTTGAAACCTATCCTCTGTTCGCGACACTGGCTTCCCATAGCATTTCAAATCAAGTTAAAGGTCATGGTCTTTATCTTCAAGGCACCCCATGACCTGAGCCCAGACTATCTAAAGACTGCCTAAAACTCCAGGATGAAGACTGGTCAATGACTTTGCTCCTTTGGCACAATGGAGCACCCTACAATAAAGGTAAACTTGTCTGTGTAGGAGACAGAACTTTTTTGTGGTCCAGTCCGAGAATGTGAAATGAACTCTCCCAGGAACGAAGGACCATCACAAACCTCACCATCTTCCACTCCAAGTGAAAGGTGCATGTCTTTGACCCTTGCCTTCTGTAACAAAAAAAAAATCCAAACCCTATCAAACAGGACACTTCATTGTACATGCTTCTCCCTGGGGGAGTGGAAGAGAGAATTACATGTGACAGATGTGTTAAGGCACTCAGGGATTGTGAAACATTGCTTCAGCTGTGCTGCTGTAGTGCTTCAGCACAGACACTATCTATGCTGATTTGTGGGGTTGCATAGATAATCCACCTTCCTGCGAGGCGGTAGCTGGGTTGATAGAAGAATTCTTTCATTTACCTAGTTCTGTCTACACTGAGGGTTAGGTCAGTTTATCTACTTCACTGAGAGGCCATAGACACTGCCACTGAGGTCTGGATTAGTGGGGCTGGGTGAGGCCAATGTCCAAAGCCCCATCCACCTTGGGAGCAGGCTCAACATAACAGAGACAATTAATCAGGAGAAGAATGGCCCTTGGGCTGAATTATGCCTCCCATTCCCCACAGGTGGCCCCAGCAATTTCACTGAAGCTGCCCGGGAAGAAAGGGCAGACTCTGGCCTTGGCCTGCACATATTATTGTAAAGAGGGACCCCTAAGCCAAGGTCTGTGGGTGGAAGCAGCACCTGCATGTCCAGGCTCTGTGCCTCATCACTCTGCAACCTGGATCTCTGCTGTGCTAAGGCGGCCACGCTGCCCTGCGCAGACTTCCTCACTTGGGCCTACAGCCTGAGCTGTGTTCAAACTGCAAGATAACAAAGCTTAGACCCAAGTCAAAGTAGGACTCAGGCTCTGACTCACCCCTCCTAGCAGGGCCCTAATACCCGGATCCTGAGTGCCTACTAGCCTGAGTCAGACTGATTTGCCTGTGGCTACAAAGAGGGTTTGAGCTCAAACGTGAGTGAGCTCCTGGGATTAGGGTGCAGGCTACCGCAGCACTAAAACACTCCCAGCTGGCCCCTTATCAGCTGACTCCGTGGAAGGCTCTAATTTTACCGTGTAGACGCTTTCCCTGGAGGCTGGGCTCTAGGACGCTCCCCGGATCCCAGGTTCTGGGCCGGCTGCAGGTGTCTGGTGCAGAGGAGCCGTGCAGATCCAGCGCGCTTCTTGCAGGAGGCTCCGCGGAGCTGTCCTGGGGACACCGGCCTTTGCGCGACTGCGGGGCGCTCCGAGTCCAGCCCGGGCTGAGTGGTGGCTCGCCGGCTCCCGGACCGTTCGTCGGCGCTTGCTCGGCCCCTTTGCACGATGGCCCGGCTGCTCCGAGGGCTCCCCCGACCGATGCTGGGGGCGGGCCCCCGGGAGCGGCCGCCGGGCCAGGGCTGCTCACACCCACACAGGTAGCTGCTGCTGCTGGGCTCGGGCGCCTGGCGGAGCTCAGGCTGGAGGCTGCTCTCGGGGCCGGGCACGCTCCCCCCCCCCCCCCGGCCTGGGCCTCGCACCCCCGCGGCCGCTCTCCGCCCCTGCCCTGCGTTACCTGCTTCCCCCGCCCGGGCACAGGCTTCTGCGCAGCTGAGCGCCCGGGCAGGCGGTGTCTGGAGGCAGCAGGGGAAATCCATGCTCCAGCTGAAGGAACCACAGAAACCTTTACCTTTCCCGCCGTTCTCCTCCTGCTGCCTGCCCAGGTGTCCCTTAGCCTCTGGGCACTCGTGGCCTATAGTGATCCTGGCATGCAGGAGATCATTTAGCTCATTGAGTGCCAACAGGGGTGCCAGGTGAAATGGTGTTTGTGATGAACACCCATCTGCCCTGTATCCCATTCCCCGGAGCCTCCTATCTCAAGTCTTTTTAATGACTCTGAGTGGGTTCAAAGGTTGTTTTTGATGGGTGAATTGCTTGCTAGATCATGAATCACTTGGTAAAAGTTAACCAGTAATAGGCAATCAGTTAAACCGGTGGCCATGCAATTATGAATATGGCAATGGTCTGTTTTTCTCATGCTTTATCTTTCCATGTGTACACTCCTCTTCTCCTTAGCTTACCTTATTGCTGAATTAGTTGGAGATAAATAGTTCTCAGGGATGTTCTGAGGTCACTGTTCAACACATAACAATGAATTGTTTGGGGAGGGATGTTCTCATAATATCATTTATTACCATGGGGCCTCATTGTGCTAGGCATTGTACAAATACAGACTAGGAGACAGTCCCTGCCCCGAGGAGTTTACAATCTATCTCTCCCACCCCCCTGACCCACTAGAAAGTGAAGAGGGGAAGGGTGACATTTCTGAGACTGCTGTTCTACTAGTCTGTGAATTTTTCAGATCCTAGTTAGTTGTTTAAAATAAAACTTCACAAATTATACACCTGGTACCAAATACTCTAACATTTGCAATTCTATAAATATAACAACTTCAGTTTGTGAGCAGCTGTGCCAATAACCCATTACTCCCTACCACCAGCATGTGTAGGAGTACTGGTACTTCAGGCTTTTGTGACTTGGCACTGGGGGCTCTCCCTCCATATATCAATGATGAACCCATGCTCTGATTTCTGCTATCCCTCTCCCATTCATTTGTGTGTGTTCTAACCTATGGATGAGCTTGTGCAGCCACTCCAAACCCGGTCACACAGTGTATGATTTGGAGCAGCCCAATCTCTACTGCAGGCCAGAACGCACTAAGTGGTGGACATGAACTGGTACAACTGAGGTTTTAGTCTGGTGATGTGGCACTATTGCAAGCAAGTTTGGGAGTCTTTGCACTTTTCTGTACTAATGGCTAATTTCCAAAGATTTCCTGTTCTGTTCTACATCGGTTCTTCTACGGCAGGGGTAGGCAACCTATGGCACGTGTGCTGAAGGCGGCACACGAGCTGATTTTCGGTGGCACTCACACTGCCCGGATCCTGGCCACCGGTCCGGGGGGCTCTACATTTTAATTTAATTTTAAATGAAGCTTCTTAAACATTTTAAAAACCTTATTTACTTTACATACAATAGTTTAGTTATATATTATATACTTATAGAAAGAGACCTTTTAAAAACATTAAAATGTATAACTGGCACATGAAACCTTAAATTAGTGTGAATAAATGAAGACTCGGCACACCACTTCTGAAAGGTTGCCAACCCCTGTTCTACGGCCTTCATCATGGCTAGGGCCCTACCTAATTCACAGTCCATTTTTGTAAATTTCACAGTCATAGCATTTTAAAAATCTTGAATTTCATGGTTTCAGATATTTAAATCTTAAATTTAATGGTGGTATAACAAAACACGAATATGTATTTTAAAAAGGCAAAATATAAACATGTAAAGCCCTTTAAGACTCGGTGTTTCTCAAACCAGGGGTCCCAACCCAAAAGGGGGTCACGGTATTGCCATCCTTACTTCTGTGCTGCCTTCAGAGCTGGGCGGCCGGAGAGCAGTGGCTGCTGGCTGGATACCTAGCTCTGAAATCAGCACCGCCGCCAGTAGCAGTATGGAAGTAAAGGTGGCAATACTGTGACACCCCACCCCCCCACAATAGCTTTGTGACTCCCTTTTGGGTTGGGACTCCCAGATTGAGAAATGCTGCGTATTTTTGTATACTTTTACCCTAGAGTTTAGGATACTTTTGTAGTATAGAATAATAGTACACAAAAGACCAGATTTCACGGTCTGTGATGCGTTTTTCATGGCTGTGCATTTGGTAGGGCCCTAATCATGGCAGTAGCTGAGCACCTTCCAGTAATGCATTAAGTGAGGTGACTAAGGGCATGTCTATACGGCTAAATTGGCACTGCTGCTATCGATGCAGCGGTGTCAGTTTAGTGGGTCTGGTGAAGATCTGCTAAGTTGATGGGAGAGTGCTCCTCAGTGGACTTCTGTACTCCCCCTCCCCGAGAAGCGTAAGATAAGTTGGCAGGAGAACGTCTCCTGTCGACACAGCGTGGTGTAGACACCACTGTAAGTCGACCTAAGTTACGTTGCGTAACTGAAGTAGCATAACTTAGGCCAATTTACAGCTTTAGTGTAGACCAGCCCTAACATCTGTCATGTGTGGTTCATTCTCTCTCTCTCTATCTCATCCTTTCCCCAGGGAGGAGATCTGTGTGTGCAGTATGGTGTTTTGGTTTGACAGGGTTGGAGTTCTTTGTGCACTCAGTGTTAGAGAAGGCAGGTTGGAGATGAGTGCCATGTACTTGGAGTGGAAGGTAATGAGGTTTGTGAGTTCCTGGAGGAGTTTGTTCCACAGTTGCAGACTGGACCTCAGGAAAGCTCTGTCTCCCTCACAGATGAGCTTTACCCTTATTGCAGTGTTTCATTGTGCCAGTGGAGCACAGTTGCTTATCATGGTCCTCACCCCAGAGCTTTAGGTGATCTTTTAGATACCCTGGGCCCAGGCCATTGAGGGCCTTGAAGATAAGGACTGAGACCATGAACTTAACTCTATTCTCTGGGAAGCCATTACAGAGAGTGGAGGACAGGGATGTTGTGCTCATGGTAGCCTGTATTGATAAGGAGATGCACTGTAGTATTCTGTACTATTTGGAGTTTCTTAAGGGCTGATAGCTTTGTGACCAGGTATATTTCATTGCTGTAGTCAAGACGAGGTGAAAAGGTGTAACTGAGGCCATCATCTGTCAGGATGGGACAGTCTTCTAGCCAACCAGAGATGGTACAAAGCATAGCTCATAGAAGCCGCTAGGTGAGAGCATAGTGTCAGGAAGGAATCCAGAAGCAACCCTCAGCTATGGACTGAATTGACCTACTGTGGGTGTGCATCTTAAGCACTATGTGTGTCCTGCACCATGGGTGCAAATTCCTCAAAATGCTTTTATCCATTCACCAGTGTCACCTCCGCCTTGCTAGGGTTCAGTTTCCACTAGCTATTCTTCAGCCATGAGCTGATTTCAGCCAAGTAGTAGGCCATCTTGTGGTGGTGATATGGCCATGTGTAGCAAAGGGTAGATTTAGCTGTGTTTCACTTGGATATTGCTGGCACTTAGGGTACGTCTACACTTACCGGAGGGTCCGGCGGCAGGCAATCGATGTTCTGGGATCAATCCCAGAAGTGCTCACCATCGACGCCGGTACTCCAGCTCGGCGAGAGGAGTACGCGGCATCGACGGGGGAGCCTCCCTGCCGCGTCTGGACCCACGGTAAGTTCGGACTAAGGTACTTCGAATTCAGCTACGTTATTAACGTAGCTGAATTTGCGTACCTTAGTCCGAAGTGGGGGCTTAATGGGGACCAGGCCTTAAATTCATGTCCTCTGACTAGTTCCCATATTGGCTACATGTAGATGTTGAACAGGAGTGGGGATAGAATTGATCCTTGTATCATTCCACAAGTGACAGGTCTAGTGGCAGAAGTGCAGTTTCCCATCATTAGTTGTTGGGTGTGTCCCTCCAGGAGGTACTCAACCCCTTTTAGTGCATAACCCTGGACCTCTACCACCTCTCCCAGGTGAGACATAAGTATCTTGTGGTCAACGGTGTCAAATGCTGCAGAGAGGTCTGGAGAATCAATGTCTGGCCTGAATCCAGATTGTTTCAGGTATAGAATATTAGCGTTAGTAAGATGAACTTTTAGTTGGCCTTTGGCTAGCTTCTCTATCAGCTTGCTCAGGAACCAAAGGTTTCACATGGGGTGGTGATTAACTAGAACCTGTGTATACAGGGTAGGTTTCATCCATGTTGGTCAGACTATTGCATATTTGAAGGAGGAAGGGAAGAAAGATTCCTTCCCTGAAAATGGTGTTGGCTGTTTCCCTTAATGGTGGCACCAGCTGCTTATGACTTGGGTTGGATTCATATATTTTGGGTCAAGACTCTCTTAGGGTGTCTGGTACCCAGTCCCAGTTGAGGTGTGAACTGCAGGGAGGCAGTATGTTGGCTCTCTTCATCAGGCATAAGATGTCAGAAAACTAGAGAGACTTGTGTGGGTGACAGGAAGGGGTTATTTGGGGGCCAATGTGTTGATGGTCAAGGCTTGCATACAATGGTAAAGATTCATGAGATCCTTGACTCCTTGTCCTGTGGATGGAGCACTGCAGTCCTTTGGGGTCAGTTTAATAGGCTTTGGAATTTGATGGCGTCTATGTCTTTGTGGTGGAATTAGGATCCTGGGTGGGTCTTGTTGCCTGGAAGCTGGCGGAGTTCTGACCACTGTCTTAATGAGGTGATGATCTGGGTTGTGATATCTCGATATCCACATCTAATCCAAAGACCCAGGTCTAAGATGTGACCAGCTGTGTGGTTGGATCAGAAATGACCTGTAAAAGTTCTAGGGAGGCAAATGAGAGAAGCTTTAGAGCTTTTGCATCTAATGCCTTATTGACATGAATGCTGAAGTCTCTCAATATGACAAGTGTGGGATATTTCACCACCATCGTTGACAAGGTATCAGTGAATTCCTCTAGTCCAATGGTTCTCAACCTATTTACCATTGTGGGCCGCATATGCAGCTCTCTGTGTTATGTGGGCCGCACCCACACAATATATATATACTACCTGGATGGCCCTGAGGTTGTCACATCGGCCACAGTTGTATGCTGATTGGGCCACAAGTGGCCTGTGGGTTGAGAACCACTAGTCTAGTCTTTGATGGTCTGTAAATGAGGATAACATCTCTGTTAGCTTTGTCTCTGATTTCTAAGGGTCAAATTATGCCAAACCCTGCATGAATATATAGGGTGAAGAAGGTGCACCAGCAGAGCAGTGACTAAGGGGCCTCTGTGCTGACCTCAGCCTGAACGGAGGGCCAAGCTGGGGGAGTTGCAGGACAGGGTGTGTGTTACACAGCTCCAGTATCTAACATAAGTGGTGTGTAGGGCCTGCAGTCACGGTTCCAGCCCATTGCATGGAGAGCAGGTGTGGAGTTTTGCACTGCAACAGCATGCCCTGCTCCTCTGTAGGGTGTGGCAATATTCAACTCCCAGCCCCACCTTCCTCACCTATGTATTATCTACATAAACCCAGAGTATTCAGTTGTTTGTGGGCAAAGTGAACTTTCAGCCTGATGTTGAAGTGGAAAGTGGCAACAGATTGTGTTTCAAAATGAGAAAAGCGCATATTTTTAAATATGTACTCTTTTATTTTTCCAGTTAAAGATGTGGGGTCTCTGACTAGATATGATGACACAGCTGTCATCACTGATTGGCAAAAGAAATTGACTCTGGAACAGTTCTATATCACGAGAGAAAAAGGAACTGAACTGGTAAGCACGAGGTCCGATGCCTATCAAGGAGACAGTACTGGAAATAATATATCGCATTTTGTTCATGTTTCTGGGCTTAATCCATCCTTCAGCTACTGGGGGTTGGGAAGAAACTTTCTCTGGGGGACTCCTTACCCCCATCTACTGCAGGATTTCTTTCCTGTGAAGCCTCTGGTGCTGGCCTAGATGGGCAACTGGTCTGATCCAGTGTGGCAGTCCCGGTGTACTTGTAAGCTGGTGTGCAGACTCAGCCCTTTCTTTAGGGATTGTTTGATCTTCAAAAACAAAGCTCAAAACAAATCAACTCAAATTACCGAGTAATAATTGCTGGGGCTTTTCTAGCTCCAACCAGAATACACCTTTCCCCTGTGCTAGCCTTCTTTGCACCAGCTTCCCTTTCCCTTTATAACCCCACCCACAACAGCCATGTCATAGGCTGGAACCCAGTAACCCCTTACATGCCAGGCCATGTTCATACCTTGTCACCCTGCTATATTTCATTCTCTAATTGAAAGGCCATATGGTTTAGTTCTATGTCACTAACTTGCCATGTGCCCTTGGACCAAATCATGTAACCTGTGTCTGTTTCCTTAGTTGTAAAATAAGGATAACAATTCTCTACCTCCCAGAGGGGCTATGAGGATTAGTTAGTTGTAGAGTACTTTGAAGTTGTTGAACTCTATATAAGTGACTTGATCTGTGAGGTGCTGCACACTTCATGAGCTTAGAAGGTCATGACACTGACCCCACTACCTGGATGATTTACACATTTGTTGTTAGATCGTATTCTGGAAGCTTTTGAAGGCAGGGGCAAAATCTTCACTGTTAATCCAAAGGCATATTCCCCTCGATTGCATGTGTGTATGTTGTTTGTTCCTCAAAGGCCTCCTGTGAAGCCTTCTTTGTTTTTCCCCTGTTTGAAATCTGACACCCCCCCCCCTACATGCTTGCTCCAGATGTTGAGCCTTGAAAGTAGTATGTTAATACTATGTTGTTTTTTAGCCATTTACTGGAATCTATCTGAATAACAGAGATCCAGGAATGTACCATTGTGTATGCTGTAATGCCCCATTGTTCAGGTAAGAGCCTCAAAATTCCAGTGTATATGGCTGTCCTAAGAGCTTCATAGTATGACAGGCAGTGCAATATATTCTTGGGGGGGGGGGAGGGGAGCAAATCATAGCCCAGACTATCGAAAAATCCTTTGATGCCAGCATATTAAAAATTATGCATGAGACTTCCAAGATGCTGGTGGGGACATGGGTATGTATTGGGCCCTATTCTTAAGCACATGAAGATGCCTAATAGCAAACAAATAAATAATAGGTGTTAACAGTGGGCCTGGTACGTTACAAGGAAGTAAGAAAACATGATGACCTTCTAAGATGCTTGTGGTGTAATTCAAAACAAATTGGACACACACAGCACCTGGCCCACTGGGAAGAGTTGGAGGTGATGTAAGAGGTTGCAGCACAGGCAGGGTCGAGCAAAAGCAATCTGGGCCCAGCCCCTAGGCATATCATGATGCTGTGTGGTCCTTCCCCATCACTTGGAATGGTGGAGACAGAAGGACCTCCTCACTTCATAGAGGCAGCTGCAGCAGCATAGGACCCATTTCTTCCCCCCTAGGGGAGAAGCAGGGTCCCTCCTCTTCTTAAGGACGCAGCAAGGGTTCCTCTGGAGAGAGCAGGCACTTCCCACCAACCCCTGTACTTATCCCAGGGTGCATCTGCTAGAGCAGGGGTCTCAAACACGCGGCCCACGGGCCGTATGCGTATGCGGCCCGTGGGGTTCTTTCATGCGGCCCGCCAAGCTCCCCCTCCCCACCTACCCCGTGTCGCCGCGAGCCCCACGCCGCTCCCTGAAGCGACTGAGCTACTGTATGTCCCTGCAGCCCCGGGCAGGGGGGTGGGAGGCAAATAGAAGGCTCCGTGCTCTTGCAGCTCCCATTGGCCAGCCAATGGGAGCTTTGGGAGAGGTACCTGGAGGAGCAGCAAGAGCAGCACATGGTGCTGTTTCCCCTTCCCCCCTCCCCCCCCCAGGGACTCCGGCTGCTTCCTGTAGCAGAGCGGAGCGGGGCCAGGGACAAGGCAGGCAGGCATGGACCCTGCCCTGGCCGTGGTGCGCGGCGCTGCCACCCCGGATCCACAGGGGCATCAAGTGGGGGGTGTCAGTGATGCGGCCCTCGGGCCAATGCACTAGTCCTCATGCAGCCCTTGAGGTCATTTGAGTTAGAGACCCCTGTGCTAGAGTGACTGGGCCAGGGCTTCTGCACTCTTCCCCTACTGCACAGAGGCCTGTATTGGTTGATATGGGTGGAGCCCCAAAGCAGCAAGTCTTGGTGCTAATACCCCATTGAGATTAATGGGGCAGATCCCACCTCTGAGCTATTTTTCAGGCTGTCTGAAGACTCAGGCAGACATGACTTTATCAATTACACTCGTGTCATGTTTTCAACTTGGAGGGCTAGAAACCTACTTTTTTTTTTAAACGGAGAATCTGATATAGTCACATGACTCCAGAAGCTGGGACCTAGGCATGTCCTATAGTGTCTGTCTTCACCCAGCTCTGAACATCGGTCATTTTGAAAGGCCTTGCAGAAAAGGAGTGATAAATTAAATTATTGGGATAAGACTACAAGGAAAGAAAAATAAATGGGGATCAGTCACTTCTCTGAATAATGGAGAAGACTGGGACTTGATGCATGGAATTTTATGTTGGAATAGTTTTAACTTTAGAAAAGATTAATTAGGGCCTTCAAGGCAGCCATTGAAGATTACATCCTACCACAAACACTTATGGATGTTTTCATTTCTTTCATACTAAATCCCCCCAAAAAAGTGACTGGATGATCCTTGTTCCTTAATTTTATTTGTGGATACACAAATAGAATATATTCTCCCAGAGTGAGCCAAGCTGGTGTTGCTAATGACAACTATTCTAGCTTTGACATGTCTTCACATGTTTACAGACAAAATCAAATTGCAATTCTGATTCTAGATGCTGAAAAGGCATTCAGTAAAGTGAACCAAGAATGTGCATTACAGCTGGGAAAAAAGGCTGGTATTTATTATTATTAAAGTCAAACTCTTACATAGCACTTTTTATCAGTAGATCTCACAGCATTTCATAAAGGATGTTAGTATCTTTATCACCATATCCCAGATGGGGAAACTGAGGCACAGAGCAAGGAAGTGACTTGCCCAGGGTTACTCAGCAGGAAAATAGAAGAGCCAGGAATAGAAACCAGGTCTTCTGAATGCCCATCCAGTGCTGTATCTGCTAAGCAACACTACCACTGACTTTGGAGCTAGACAGGGCTGTTGTACCCAGGCATAGTTGCTTCTGTGTCTGTGTAGAAGAGGTTCAGGGATGGACAACCAGAATGATTAGAGGCATGGAAAAACATTCATATGAAGAGTGAAAAGATTGTATCTGCTTACCTTTTAAAAGAGACAAGAGGGAGCATGATAAAAGTATGCTCCATAATGTATGGTAGAGAGAAGGTAGACCAGGCATATTCACCTTGTCTCATAATAGAAAAACAAAGGGACAATCAGTGAAATTGAAAGGTGGCAGATTTAAAGATGAAAAAAGGAAGTATTAGTTTTTATCCTTAGCCTGGGGAATTCATTGCCCTAGATGATATTGAGGCCAAGACCTTATCAGGATTCAAAAAGGAATTGGAAATGTATATGGATGACAAAAATATCCGGAGTTATAATAGTAAGGATTAAAACACACCCCAGAGTTTTGGAAGGACTATAAACCCTCGTGTTCCATGACATAAGCTAACCTCTAACTAATGGAAGTAAAGAAGAAACTCTCCTTGGGGGCAGGTTATTTCATAACTGCCCACTGCAGGGTTTTGCACCATCTTCTGAGGCAGCAGTTGCTAGCCACTCTTGGAGACAGAACACTGCACCAAATAGGCCCCTGGTTTGATCCAGCATGATGGTTCCCCCTTATCTCAGATGTTTATTGTCCACAGAGGCACTCACCAAGGATTTCCATCGTCTCTCCTACTTTCAGGTTAGCCAAAGATCCTTGACAGCTGCAGAATTACCAGGGGCACTAAGGGCTTGATCCTGAAAGTAACAGAAGGGAAGTAAGGAAAAGTGGTCATTAGACTGCTTAACAGTTTCACGAACTGTTCAATGGGGATGATGATACTGACCTCCTTTGTAGAGTGCTTCGAGATCTAAAGATGAAAAGCATTATATAAAAGCTATGTCATCATTATTAATAATAATAATTAGTAGTAGTAGTATTACACAAGGCCCTGCAGCTATTCTCTGCATGCCCTGGAGTGATTTATTCTCCTCACCTCGTGTACTCCCATTAACATCAATGGAAGATGAGGGAGCCAAAGGAAAAGAAAACAGACCCTTTAGTTCTTAAATACTTTAAACACATTTACTGGGAGAAATGATAATGCACAGTCAAGTATTATGCCCACCAATATTGACAGTCTGGATCTCTACATTTTATTCTATAATACAGCATCAAATAAAATGAATAACATGTCTAACGTACTTATTGGCCAGCTGAGTAGTCCTTCTCCAGACCCTGTTCTTCTGGAGGCAGTGCATCAGCTTTACTCTGCCATAGAGCAGCAGTCTTGGTTTTCTATTAAAATTGCTTCTGTACACCTACTTTTATATAGTGAGGATGGTTGCTGCCAACTCACTGTGTCTGAGCACTGTAATATCTGCCCCCCCACCTCCCTCCTTCTCTCCCCCCCTCCTCCCGAGCAGATCTGCAGGGACACAAGTGCTAGAAAATGTGGCATGGGACTCTGTCAGCTATTCTCTGCATGCCCTTGACATTACTGGCCTGTGAGGGGCAGATTTTCTAAGATAATTAGGTGCCTTTAGGAAGCAGATGGGCATCTAGTGGGATGTTCAAAGGCACATAAGCAGATTAGGTGCTGAACTCCTGCTAAGTAAATGGCAGTTAGGTGCCTAACCTACTCCCACTACGTGGAATTTTCAAATACCTTTGAAAATCTGGCCCTGAGTGCCTGTGCTTTTCCTCTCCATACCCTCCTTATCAGCACTACACACACTGCAAGATCATCAACATCTAAGTTTGTCAATAGGGTGCCTAGGAATGTTATATGCAGATGGTTCTACTGTCTGTAACTGAGCCAGAAAAGATGGTTCCTCATATTTTGGACCTAGCTAATTGCCTTGTATATTTCCAACTAAGAGTTAAATTGGGATACGACTGAAATCATACCAGTTTCTATAAATGTTTTAAAATATACATTTCAGACTAGAACTTCAGTGGGAACCTGAGGAACTGCATACTAGGGCAATAAAATAAAAACAACTTAAAGATTATAGTAAAAATGAAGCTGGACCCAGCAATAAACGGTGATAAAACTAGATCTTGATAATTGGAAACTGACTAAATTCACCTTTGGGTGAGCATGGAAATATATTTAATACCAATGAACACTGCTTAAACTTTTGTATCGTTTTAGAACATTGCCCATAAACATTTTTAAAAATCAATGTTCAGAAGCTAGTAAGATGTTGCAAAACGTTGTGGAGACAAGGTAAAAAGCCTGCAATAGGCTAGAAAAGTGATACCTTCCAGCAGATCAGGGAGATTTTAAATTCCTAAATTGCAAAAACAGTTGCTGTTCCTTTACATGAAAGCATCCTTTATACTGAATGTTAAATAAAGACAGGCAAGCATGAAGATGGGTCAGTATTGAAGAGAATTGTGTCAGTTACTTTCATTTGTGCTAAACTTCTAGTCTTATTGCAATAAAAAAACCCACGCAGACCTTCTTGTAACGCACTGCTCTAGAAAAGCATGGCTATAACTGTCAAATAAATTAGGGTGTGTGTGTGGGGGAAATCACATTCTGGAACAACCTATCTTTTAAGATTGGAAATAGGAAAAATCATAGGTTAAAATGGACTGAGAAAAAAATTCCATGAATCAAATTTTTTAAGAAGGAGCTACACAATACTAATAGAAAAACTAGTATTTGAAAAGAGAATAATTCATCATTGTTTAGCTTAGCTGTACACACACACACAAAGAACTTCACAATAAAAAAAATGTTTATTTTTTAAAATGCATCAGACTTTTAGCCAAGGCTTTTAGCCAAACAAAAAGTTCTCTGTGTGTGTATGTATGTATGTATATATATATATATATATATATATATGCTTATTACTCTCTGCTACCATATGCTCAGTGAAAAAGGTTCAAAAGACATGGAACAAAGATCTCAACCTTCATAGATAGCGAATTACGGAGTTTTAATCAAACCTCAAACCTTCAATAACCATACAGCTGAGATTTCTACTACAAAAAGCATTTTTAGAATTATCGGGACTCTATCAAGGATGGCTAAAATAGAAATCAAAGCAAATGACGTGTTGGAGGTATAGTATGGTGAGGGCTAATCTAATGCATATGTTTTGGGAAAGTCCAATTATCCATAAATTCTGCGATTAAGTACTTCAAAGGACAAATATGATCTTGAACAGCAGTATTTTTGTGGCTACTAAAATGTTTCTGTTAGGGAATCTAAGTGATGTACTTACTAGTAAACCACACAGGGGCAATTTCTGTTTGAAAGCTGGTTTAATAGCTCAGAAGATTGATCTTTTGAAAATAGAAAACCTCTCCAGCAAGGCTTAAACATTGTAAAACTGGTGTAGAAGACTGAATGAACTAGCAAATTTAGGGACAGATCCAAAACCGGGTGGGGTTGTAGTGGAAACATTTCCATTGACTTCACTAGGTTTCAGATACGGCCCTTACAGAGTATCATCCCATTTAAATGAACAGAAGGATAAATGTAAGGAAATGTGGTTGTTTCTTGACAATTTATCAATATTCTGTTGTGATTTTCATGTACTATGTGTGGAGCGGTGGTGGTAGAGTGACCAGATAGAAAGTGTGAAAAATTGGGATGGGGGTGGGGAGTAATAGGTGCCCATATAAGAAAAAGCCCCAAATATCGGGACTGTCCCTATAAAATCGGGATGTCTGGTCACCCCAGTGATGGGGAGTTAGTGTATCAATACGTAGAGCTTATTCTTGTGTTCTGGAAATAAAACTATTAAAAACAGACAAAAAGAAGCAGCCGAACTAGATGAAGTTGTAACCAGATGCCTGTATTGGCTCAGGCCATGCCTTCGGAAGCTGCATGTGGCTCTTCCCCTGCCCACATGTGTTGGGGCAAAGCTGTCCCAGATGCTGCAGAGAGCCTTGCATAGCTGGAGTGGGGCAGGACTGGGGACCACATAACGTCCCTTCGCCAACCCATGTGGGGAATCTGCAGGCTCTGTTAACTTTCCTGCTGTGAGCCTCTGTAGTACTGTCGAATACCCCCATGAGATGAGGGGGCATGTTTCCCTCAGCAGGTGACAGATGGAGGAGCCCCTGGAGAACTGGTTCAGTTGAAGCCTTGCAGTACAGTGCAGATGCACTGGGTACAGGGCCGGCTCCAGGCACCAGCGAAGGAAGCAGGCGCTTGGGGCGGACAATGGAAAGGGGCTGCACGTCCGGGTCTAGGGTGGCAATTTGACGGCGGGTCCCTCAGTCCCTCTCTTCCTCTTTGAGCTGCTGCCGAAGAGGAAGAGGGAGTGAAGGACCCGCCGCTGAATTGCTGCAGAAGAATGAAGCCAAAGTGCCGCCGATAGGCTTTATCTTTTTTTTTTTCGCTTCGCCGCTTGGGACAGCAAAAAAGCTGGAGCCAGCCCTGACTGTATGTCTCTGTGTGATAATCAGTCCTGGCTTCTAGCAGACCCCTGAGATCCCCGGGTGTTGGGGACCAAACTCTGTGCATCTTTTGCAAACCTGTAGCTGAGCATTTTCAATAATACTTTGTGTAATAGATGGAGCAGTAGCCCTTAGAAGAGTGATCCTCCAGTCATTCCTTCGCTACAGTCTCTCATTTACTTGCAAAGATTATATTGCTTGTAAAATATTTACAGTTATTTACAAATGATGTGCCAGACACACATTGCTATTTTTGACTTGAATTAAAGTGAAAATTGCCATTTTAGAAACATTAAATGTATCAGATATTAATATGTCTTTCTGAAAGGCACAGAAATAAGATTTTGTCAGTCTTTCATGCCCCACCATAACATGTATATTATCTTAATTAAATGTTTCACTTTAGAGCATTTGTGATAAAAGACTCCCTTCTGCTACTGGAAACTATTCAATGGTGGCAGTGTCTCTGTCTACCACTAGGTGCCACTGTGAGCATAGATTTTTGGGGAGCATTGAGAAAGCTGGCCCTGGAATAAGAGAATAAAAACCTGGGTGGAGACCTTCAGGATTTGTTCTTTGATATATTTATCATAGTAGTGCAATCAGTCATGATTTGTTGCAATGATGTACAAATCTCTTATCCGTAGAAATGAACAATTTTGAATTACTGTCATTAATAAATCCTACTTTATTTATAAAGGAGGGAACTTTTAGATTCCTTTGTACTAATTGAAGTCTAAAACTATTACTTTGATCATAATTTATAATAGATTTTAAGATGAATGTGGAACTAGTTCTGTATTAGTAATAATCCCATCTATTAACTGTAGTGTTCTCTTTTTAAATGTCTACTTGGAGAATTAAAACACATGTAAAAAGGAACCCTAAGGCAAATAAACTGAAATTGTTTCATTCTTGAATACCATATATTTTTCATGCCATGCTGTTCTGTGATTGAGGTAAAATCTTCAGTTTTTCTATTGATTAGCTATATTGATTTGCATTATCTTTGACTTTATTTTTCCTCCCAACAGAATTTTGAATTGTATCTTATGAGCAAAGGTTGGCTCAAGGATTCCCCATCCCAGTCTCCTAACATTTTCAGCATATTTTTTTCCAGTTCCTGTTTAACCACAAATAGTAGTTGTCTCTGTAATGCCAATTGTCACCTCTTGGGGGCAGTAGATCATTGTATTCTAGAAAGCTCCATAGACTTGTGTAGAATTGATCTGCCGAACTTTTTTTAGTTACACCTTGTCGCTTTTGCTGTTTCAAGCAGCAGTTGCTCTGATGTATAAACCTTGTCTGGCAGGTTAAACTAATGAGACTCCAAAACTTACTGTAATTTTCAATCTTGATTTTTTTTAAATAACGTACTTGGAAGCATAAGGTTTTGAACTGTGGCCTTTGGGGCTCTACAGAAAGTGCCTAGTGTGTTTAGCTATTTGGAAAGCCATTTTCAAACACTGTAGCAGGCTGGACCACCATTGATGGGACAGAAGCCTGTACTGTAGAAAGAACAAGAAATCTATTAGGTGAAAAGGTTCTGGAACAGTGATGCTGCACTGAAAAAGATGCTTACTGAGCCAAATGCTATTTAAAAAACAAACAAACAAAAACAAAGGTGAGGGAGAGAGTAGAAGGGAAAGCTAGTTTTTTCCTATTGAAAGCAACAAAAAAAGTCTATTTAACATCTATATTCTTGATTAATAACAAGATCTGCTGTCCTCAATAGTTCAGAGAAGAAATACAATTCCAGCAAGGATGGGCTTCATTTTCGGAAGCTTTTGGTGCATGTGGTACAGATGAAAACAATACTAATATCCTGAGGTGTCCAGATACCTCATTGGGATCAACCAGCATGGAAGTCATTTGCAAACGGGTATCTTGAAGGTGGTACAGAAGGACTTTTTTATGGTGTTTTCTTCTTTCCTCATCTTTCTATCATTGTCTGCATAGTTTGCCATATAACAATATCTAGAGATTGGTCCCTTTTGGCCTGGAATCTATCACTGTGATCATCTAGTCTGACCTCCTGCATAACACAGGCCATAGAACTTCACCAATGTAGAATAGCTTTAGAAAAACACCCAGTCTTGGATTTAAAAATTGTCAGTGGTGGAGAATCGACCATAAACCTTAGTAAATTGTTCCAATGATTAGTAACCCTCACTGTCAAAAATGTACATCTTAATTACAGTCTGAATTGTCTAGCTTCAACTACCAGTCACTGGATTGTTATACCTTTCTGTGCTAGATTGAAGAACCCAGTATTAAATATATGTTCCCCATAAAATACTTATAAACTGTACTCAAGTCATCCACAGTCTTTATTAAACTAAATAGATCGAGCTCTTCGAGTCTTTCACTATAAGGAATGTTTTCTAACCCCTTAATTATTCTTGTGGCTCTTCTCTGAACTCTCTCCAATTTATCAACCTCCTTCTTGAATTGTGGGCACCAGAACTGGGCAAAGTGTTCTAGCAGTGAGTGCACCATTCAGGGCCGGCTTTAGCAAGAGTGGGGCCCGATTCCTGGGGGCATGGCTTGCCACAAATCCCGCCCCCAGGAATCGGGCTGCGCTCTGGCCGGAGCTCCAGCCGGTGTCATGGGGCTTGGGTCTGGCCCGGAGCCGCTCAGCCGGGGGGCCGGGCCCGAGCCGGACTGGACCCGAGCCGAGCCGGGGGGCCAGACACGGACTGGACCTGAGCCGGGCCGGGGGGCCGAGCCGGGCCCGGGCCGAGCCGAGGGGCCGGGCCCGGGCCGAGCCGAGCCGGGCCCGAGCTGAGTTGTGGGGGCCAGGCCCGGGCCGAGCCAAGGGAGCCGGGCCGGGCCCGGGCCGAGCCGCGGGGGCCGGGACAAAGCTGAGCTGAGCGGGCCGGGCCGGCGCGCTCGGCCAGAATCGGGGCTGGTGCCCCAAGGCCGGAGCTGCTGGGGCTGGAGGTGCTCGGCCGGGGCTGGACTGGGCCGCGCCGCGCCTCCCCGGAGTGCGTCTCACGTCCCCCTCCCACACCCCTGACTCAGCTTACCAGGTGCTGCCGCCCGCCCCTGCTTCTTTTCAGACTTCCCGCGAACCTCTGATTCGCGGGAAGCAGGGGTGGGGGAGGAGCAGGGGGCGGAGCATGCAGGGTAGGGGAGGAGGGGGAAGTGAGCTGGGGGCGGGGTGGAGAGCTGTGGCGCGGGGCCCAATTCAGCCAAATCGGCTGAATCGGCCTAAAGCCGGCCCTGGCACCATTGCCAAATACAGAGGTAAAATAACCCTTCTTCCTACTCAAAATTTCCCGGTTTGTGCATCCCAGGATCAAATTAGTTCTCTTGGCCACAAAAGCACATTGGGAGCTCATGTTTAGCCGATTATTCACCTCAACCCCCAATGGGTAAAACTTTCAAAATGTCTAAGTGACTTAGGTGTCTTAGCCCATTGAAAGTAAATGGGACTTAAACCTCTAAGTCACTCAGGTGCTTTTGAAAATGTTACTTGGTGTGTGAATTTATATAAAATCTTTGTGGATATGTTTTGTTTGCATCCATGCAGTTAGTAAATTAGTCTGTCCAGATGTATCTGTGAGTGTTAGGATACCACTGAAAAGTTTTATTTCTCATCCCTTGGGATTTAGATATGAGAGTCAAGATCAAAGCAGTATCAGCTATAAAAATCCATTTCTGGGTGAGGGAACAATCTGGCAGATAAGGTGAGCATCTTTTTAAGTACACTCAGCTTGGAATTTAGGAACAAAATCTATTACACCAATCCACTAGAGATTATTTTATGTGACTAACTGTTACAAACCTGTCTTGAATGTTTGTCCACACTTTGTCTGACTCGATGCCTCATCATGTAGCAGAGGTGTGAAGATAGGATTGACAAAGTATTCCATAGAGGTTAGCAAGAACTTTGTATGCATAAGACCTGCAGAACCAGGTCATATCTTGCCTGGAACAGGGCCAGGTGCTGTAATGAGTACATCTTATTGTGTATTACTGCTAACCTGGAAAGACTGGGATCTCTTAGAACAACTCATAACCTCACATTCCTTTGGATGTCTTTACAACTTGTGAACGTGCTGTTAGCTTTGTGCTGATCCCAAACCTCATGCTGTGAGTGTAGAAAATCTTTTCTTAAAGAAATGTCCGAGTAGCCTGTAGGGTTTCTTTTCCCCCTGAGCTGTCATTCTTAACTAAGTTGTGGAATAGCACTGCAGAACATGGAGTGCTGTCTGATATTCTACCATGAAGACATTTGTGTTCACTTAACTAATGATTGTTTTTCTGTTGCAGTGTGATGCCCATCTTGGTCATGTGTTTGATGATGGTCCCAGATCTTCTGGACAAAGGTTCTGTATCAACAGTGTTTCGTTAATCTTTAAACCAAGCTTAGACTAGTAGGAGAAGGATCTTTAAGTACTATTGTGAAAGCTACAAATTTTAGTACCAAACATAAATTCACTACCAGATCCTTTGTGCCACTGGAGTTTTGTTTTATTGATGTTGAAAATGTTGGTAAAAATATATTTATTGTAATTTCTAGCCTAATATTTGTGTTCATTTGAATCTGGTTTTACGAATGTGTACAATGTATTAGTTTTGACTAAATGTTTGTTTCTATGAAATAATGCAAAATGTTTATGAAATTGAACATTGATGTGTTCCTCTGTCTTGTAAGGGTTGAAATAAAAACCTCAATGATTACATTGTACTTAACATACATTTATACATTTAACTTTAAAAAGTAAATCCAAGTAGTTGTGGCCTGTAGTTTTCAGTGTTAAAATGTTTGCTTTTTTAATGTTGAGCTCATTTAATACTGATTAAAAAGCAAATAATGCACATCTGCAAATTAGCATTTTTCCAGGTCTGAGAGACATTTCATTAAAGCAGCGACTTGTGACAGAGCAACTGACCCCAGAAATTCAAAGCTCTGCAGTGGGGCAATGTAAGTCCAAAGTATTAACACCTTCTCCCAGCCCCAGACAGGCATCACAGAATCAAAAGGGGCTTGGAATTGCTGCAATTCCCACCGAGATTCATTTCTGACAAATTTATTCTTCTTCCAGAATTGAATTGGGTTGAGATTGCAAGTGGAGCCCTCACGGGGTATGCTCCCTATTTTAGATTGAATGAGGTGTGAGGGTAATTAATCTTACCACTATCACCCCAGCAGTATTTATTTATATCCCTAAAGTATTTAATGACCATTGATTCTGTCTGTTACTTCTCCCATCTTCCAAATGAGATCTTAGCTTGTTTAGCTAAAGGACGCCATATCTTGGATGCCATCAGAAAGTAACTTTAGACTTTGAGACTTATTACAAGGTTAGCAGATTTACACACTTGGTACATTGGCCCTAGTATGACCAGTATGTGAGATAACTCTTGTGTTTCCTGTTTTCTCCAGACCAGACCTACCCCCACTGAAGCTAGATTGCACCACTTCTTGAGATTACAGGGTCAAAGCGATCCATTTCCAGAAACCTATTTTCAGAGCATGGTTACCTTAGCCCTAGGCTCTTCTAGCAGCGCAAGAGGAAGACCTTTTCCCACTACAGCGAACAGTTCAGAAGTAAACAGAATTCAAAAATGGAATGAAACTGTTTGGAATTTAATCTAGATTGTCGTAGTTTCAGTGAAGAAGCCATCAGATTGGGAAGAGCTGTAACTGGACAGGCAGGGCACAATTTGTTGTTGCCCAATAGCTTCTTTGTGCTGGCTGTGCTACATCAAAACAAAGGAGCCGTATGGTAGGTGCAAATTCCTTAAACTCCCAGTGAATATCAACTGGCACAGGGAACCTGTTCTGCAGGCACCAATCTGTCTCTGTACTATTCAACCCTCACCCGTGCCCTCAGAAGCCCCCAGCATTGAGGGGGCGGGAGGATGGATGGCTGGGGCAGCCCTACATCCTGGCTGTTTCCCACTGCCACAGTGCACATAGGGGATATGGAAATGGAGGGTGCACTTTAGGGCTGTTCTAATCTGCACTGGGGTCCAAACCAGCCCCTGGCAGCCTCTAAATAGGGAAGACACAAGCCACTTCCATTGTGGTCATGGTACCAGTGGTAGTGTTGGCACAGAGCAGAACTCAGCTCTCAGACTCCAGTTATGTTGGTAAGGAAATGATGCCCTGAAGCAGGGATAAACAAGCTAGGTGTTTTTACACAATTATCACTTTTTCATTCTACCATGGCTTTAAACACTGTTAACAGAGGAAATCTTAAGTGGCCTTAGTTGGAAACGTTTTTTTAAACTCCAAACCTCAATCATATTTAAAACCATTCAAGGAACCATGGTTCAGATGCACGAGCAGCTCACTTCCTCCTTAAACAATGCCCTTGTGCCTGTGCCATTAGCAGACATGGGTAAAAGGTTTCACTCTAGGTACTTCCTGATGCAAAAATAGCATCAGAACTAAGCCTCGTCCACTCACTGTAAGGATCCACAGAGGCATTTGACTTGCTATCTTTTTACACATTTCAGAGATTGGATGACAATGGGTGCAAAGGCTTCTGTGCAAAAGATATTTTCAGTAATTTGTTTGTCAAACACACGTCTGTATAAACTTGTACATACCTTTGTGCAGTTCCTAAGCACTTAGGACACCATAAAAGGAAAGAATTGTAGCTGTGCTGCACAGAGCTTTCCTGCCATCAGATTTTCACTCATCTATAACCTCGATAATGCTAACCTAGCTGACTTTATATTGTTCCCTGCTGAGAGTTACTAGGCAACATCGCATTCAATGCTACCTGTAACAGGTGTTTCCATTTTCCCTGTCTTGGCTGCCTAAGTAATAAGGGTGCTAATTGATTTAGAGCTTTGCTGCCTGGTACAATTCTAAAGACACAAAACACTTTAGTAAAATTTCAGTTCATGTAATAAGCTGTGCTGCATTAGTCTGGAGCTGTGCACTGCGTTTCAGTTGTCATCTCAATCTTTTTGAATTCCTTTATAACTGTTTTAGTGATCATGGACATAGGGAACTCACCCCTACATGATGTCAGCTCTAGAATCAGCCTTTCTGAAAAATGACCAGTGCCAACACCAAGAACATACATAATTCTTCCAGCTAAACTAAAATAGAGCTCTGCACAAAGGACAACAGAGCCATAAAACTGCATGAGGAGTCAGCGATGCTACTACCAAGCTTCTGCCTTGCTGTCATAGGCGTGAAGACCCAAATTATGTCAGACTTGCTTATTAACAGAACTAATGTGTCATTTATGTCACATACTCTTGCCCACTTCCTGCCCACCTATTCTAGCCATTGCTGTGCTTGCTTATTCCTGTACACCCAGACTTGAGGTCCAGGTAGTCTGCACAGGGATGGAAAGAGAGCTCATGCCTCCTTACGCACCTGTGTGGACATACAAGCCAAGAGACTACGAAGCCCTCCAATATGTTTTCATTGGTTTTCTTCTTGGGATCTATTGCTCCACTGTCAAAGGGTCCTTTAGGGTCCAGTTCATCACTGGTCATTCAGGGGCAGTTTTGTCACAATAAGAAGTGACTAGCGATTATCAAAGGAAAGTGGGATTAGCCAGCCATGTTTAGTATGGAGAAACAGACAGCACAGTGTGACTCTGTATGTACATGATCAGATACTGAGAATTGTATTTCACTTGCAAAGTCTCCAAATTAAAATGCTCACAACACCCACCAACACAGCTCAAAGTAGAGTAGAATGTGGCCTATGCTGTGATAAGAGTTCTGTCAGCTCCACCTGCAGACTTGCACCGAAATAACTAGCTTGGTTTTAATTCACACCTTGAGTTATTTTGGTGCAAGTCTGTGTGTGTGCACTCTTATTGTGGAGTACAAGTGTCTTATTTCAACGTAGCTTCAACCCAGACCAGCAAAAATCAAAACAAGACACTGGGTTTTCTGCTGCTCAGCACCATAATATTGCAGTGTATTCCCCATAAAAGTGACACTCTGAATCCAAAATAAGAGTGTCAACACACAAACTTGCCCTGAAATAAAGTGTGGATTACAACCAATTTAATTAGTTTGGTGCAAATTTTTGCATAGACCAGCCCTTAGTGAATTGGCAAGTTGGTGACTAGCCCAAACAGTGAAGGCTGCTTGCGCAGAGATGGAGTGTTTCTTCTGTAACCGTAGGTGCCGTTGTATCCAACCAGAGGCTTGACTGAGGTGAGAAACAGCCGGTGACCACCCACATGTGTTGCAGAATGACCTGAGGGAAAACTCAAATAAGGATCAGGTTAGCTTGCGAGGCTCATTTATATATATAAAAAAGTATTTACAAAGCTGTCATCTTATAGACTGCACAGAATCAGAGAAATGTAGGGCTGAAAGGGACCTTGCTTGCACGGTCATCAAGTCCAGCCCCCTGCACTACGGCAGGATCAAGTAAATCTATACCCATTTCTGCAACATGTTCATCCAACCAGTTCTTAAAAACCTTCAGCAATGGAGATTCCACAACACCCCTTGGAAGCCTATTCAAGAGCTTCATTACCATTAGTTGCAACGTTTTTCCTACTTGCGAACCTAAATCTCCCTTGCTGCAGATTAAGCCCATTACTGCTTGCTCTACCATCAGCAGACATGGAGAACAACTGCTTGCAGTCCTCTTTATAACAGCCCTTAATGTATTTGAACAGAACAGTGTTATTGGGTTCACCCCCCCGTCTTCTTTTTTCAAAACTAAACAGGCCCAGTTTGTTTAATCTTTCTTTAGAGGGCAGGGTTGCTAACCCTTTTATCATTTTTGTTGTTCTCCTCTGGACTCGCTCCAATTTAGCCACATTGTTCCTAAAGTGTAGGCTCCCCCCGACTTAGACACAGTACTCCAGCTGAGGCCTCACCAGTGCCGAGTAGACCAGGCCTATTACCTCCCACGTCTTATTTATGACACTCCTGTTAATATACCTCCCCCCCCACCAGAATGATATTAGCCTTTTTCACAACTGCATCAAATTGTTGACTCATTCAATTTGTGATCCACCACACCCCCCAGATCCTTTTAATCAGTACTACCATTTAGCCCATTATTCCCTATTTTGTAGTTGTGTATTTGCTTTTTCCTTCCTTAATGAAGTACTTTCAGGGCTGGCTCTACTGTTTTTGCAGCCCCAAGCAGCACGCCGAATTGCCGCTGCGGACGGCAGGGGCAGTCCGTGCGCCATTAGGGCGGCACGCGCATTTCCGCGGCGGGGGCAATTTGGCCGCAGCTTCTGTCCTGCTGCCGAATT